TCCCTCAGCTCTTCAGCTCAAGGATAGTGCTCTACCACTTGAGTCATAGCACCACTTCCGGCTTTTTTTTTTTTTTTGCTTATGTGGTGCTGAGGAATCGAACCCAGGGCCTCAGGCATGCAAGGCAAGCACTCTACCACTGAGCTACCCTCCCAGCCCTGAAAGCAGGGGTTATACCATGGGGGAGGGACATACAAGGCAACAAAGACATAATCTTATAAATATGTTAGAAACAATCGCATGAAAGATATCTCTCTCTCTCTCTCTCTCTTTTTTTTTGTCAATCGTGGGGCTTGAGCTCTAGGCCTGGGAGCTGTCCCTGAACAATTCAGCTCAAGGCTCATGCTCTACCACTTGAGCCATCGCGTTGATTCATTCTTGTAATTCTAGTTAGCTATTCAGGATGGAGACTTGAGGATTGTGGTTCAAAGCCAGCCCAGGCAGGAAAGTCCGGGGGGACCTCAACCACCAAAAAGTTGAAAGTGAAGCTGTGGTTCAACTGGTAGAGCATTAGTCTTGAGTGAAAAAGTTTAAGGGACAGTGTGCAGGTACTAAGGTCAAGTCCAAGTACCAGTACAAAGTCAAAACAAAAAAAAAACACCAAAAAAACTATTGCTGGACACTTATTTGATTCCTGACATAAATAACATTTTCCAGGACATAAATTATGCTGCATGAAGCATCCTTGCATGCTCATCTTCATGCACATCTGATCGTATCCTTAGGGTAAATCCCTAGAAGTGGAAATTGCCGGTCTGAACACGGTCAAGGCATCTGACAGACAATGGTACGTTGCAGACGGGTACCAATTCATAGCCCCCGCAGGCCCATACTGCCCGGCCTATCTCACACCCTGCGTGAGGGCCAAGTGTGATTTCTCTCATCTTTGTTAATTCGATGAGGAGTGGAAAATGTATTAAGTGTGGTACTGAACCATGAACTAAATCAAAGATTAAAACCTACATGCACACCCTCGCCTGGTGAGCTGGCCTGAACCAGAACTGAATGTGTATTTTCTAAAACGATTGAGCTGGAACATCAAAATCGTCTCTGAACTGAGACTCGATCTGTGCTCCGATCCATCCAAGGCCCTAATTAGGCCATAAGGGGACTACACTGGGAACCTGGGATGTCCCTTGACCTTGTTAACATTGAACTACACTGCCCACTTGCACAGGGCTGTGTCACTGCTCGAATTTACACATGTCCAATTATGGCTCTGTGCAGGTCGCCAGTCCTGACATGGAAAACTCAGAACACAGGAGGAAGGGAGTCACTTGACACTTCTGTATTCTCCTGAGACCCTTAACCTGAATAGTGAATAATGCCAAGGAACCAGGTAAGCAAATGAAGCCAACAAACTGGGTTAACCACTTCTAGCACTAGCAAATCTGTTAACTGAGTCTGATGAACAGCTAATGGATTATCTGATGAATGAGTTAACCAGTAAACAGGTTAACTGATGGAAATGTTAACAGGTGAATGGATTACCTGATGAACAGGTTACCTGAGAATGTAACTAGTGAACAGGTTAACTGACAAGCAGTTTAACTGGATGTATTAAAACAGCAGGTTAACTGATGAATGGTTAATTAATGGGTGAACAGCTTAATTAATAGGTTAGCTGGTTAACAGAAAAATTGGTAAATAGTTTAACTGTATTCTTGTCATATTAGCAAGTCTATTCTTTCTTTCTTTCTTTCTTTTTTTTTTTTGGCCAGTCCTGGGGCTTAAACTCAGGGCTGGGGCCCCGTCCATGAGATTCTTTTTGCTCAAGGCTAGCACTCTACCACTTGAGCCACAGCTTTTTTTTTCCAGCTTTTTCTGTTTATGTAGTGCTGAGGAATTGAACCCAGAGCTTCATGCATGCTAGGTAAGTACTCTCCCACTAAGCCATATTCCCAGCCCCAACAAGTCTATTATTTTATTGCAGCTGTAAATTTAGCTTTTCTCCCCAAATAAATACAAGTTCTAGGTGAGACTGGCATAAAAAAAAAAAAGACAGGGACCATTAAGGCTCACCTATAATCATACCACCTCCTACTTAGTTGTCTTCAGGGTTACAGGGATCAGGAACACATGGGGGCCTAGAAACATCACAGACACCATGGCAAGAGAACTAATCACACAAGAATTAGTGACCAAATGGTGTCACCTGGTCAGGCTACAGGGAGATGTCCAGAAAGCCCCAGGAAGCCTGCACCTCCCCCATGACAGTTTTGAGGGGCAGGCGCTCTATTCACAGGGCTGTTTGCCAATTAAAACCTTTTTCTCCCCAGAAATATCTTTAAAAAAAATTTATTGAGATTGACTACATGTCACAAATTTCACAGTATTGTAGGATTAGTGATACTTACAGTCACAAACACATTTTAACCGTCATAAGGCAAATTGTTATATTAGCCTATAAAGTTTGTGAATTCTATAAGCTTTGACAATACAACTATTTCTTTCATATTGGGTGATATGTACATTTCTCTCCTTTTGCTTAGTGTTAGCTGTTCCCTTTCATTCCCTTCCTCCCATCGCTGCCCTTGAGTTGCTTAGTTCATTTTCATCAATGTCCTGTGTAGTTGATGGGCCCCTTTGTTGTATTTTTTTCCCCATTTCTTAATATCTTAAATACCTTTTTTGTCGGTCATGGGGCTTGAACTCTGGGCCTGAGTGCTGTCCCTCAGCTCTTCAGCTCAAGGCTAGTGCTCTACCACTTGAGCTACAGCGCCACTTCTAGTTTTCTGGTGGTTTATTGGAGATAAGAGTTTCACAGACTTTGGGCTGGGAAGGTGGCTCAGTGGTAGAACACTTGCCTTGCATGTCTGAGGCCCTGGGTTGGATTCCCCAGCAACACATTCTGGTTTTCTGCTGGCTTATTAGACATAAGAGTTTCACAGACTTTGGGCTGGGAAGGTGGCTCAGTGGTAGAGCGCTTGCCTTGCATGGGCCCTGGGTTCGATTCCTCAGCACCACATAAGCAAAAAAAAAAAAAAAGCCGGAAGTGGTGCTATGACTCAAGTGGTAGAGCGCTAGCCTTGAGCTGAAGAGCTGAGGGACAGCGCCCAGGCCCAGAGTTCAGGCCCCACGACAAAAAAAAAAAAAAAAGAGTTTCATGGACTTTCCTGCCCCAGCTGGCTTTGAACCATGATCCTCAGATCTCAGCCTCCTGAGTAGCTAGGATTATAGGGGTTGAGCCACTGGCACCCGACTATATTAAATATCTTAACAAACAAGAATATACACACTCAGTCAAATCCAGAAAAATGTTAATGATGCCCTGATAACAAATGGATTTTTTTTAACAAAAATAAAAGGAATTTGTTATTGTCTAGAAAAGTATGGTAGTTTGGACATATCACTAAGCAATATTTACTAGTTATGGCAGGCTTATCATTGTAGTCATGAGGTGCTCAAATAAGTAACTAAAAAGTTAAAAAAAAAAAAAGTCAGGCGCCTGTGGCTCATGCCTGTAATCCTAGCTACTCGGGAGGCTGAGATCTCAGGATCTTGGTTTGAAGCCAGCTTAGGCAGGAAAGTCCCCAAGTCTGTTTTTTTGTGAGTCCTGGGGCATGAAACTCAGGGCCTGAGCACTGTCCCTGAGGTCTTCAGTTCAAAGCCAGAGCTCTACCACTTGAGCCACAGTGCCACTTCTGGCTTTTTCTGTGTATGTGGTACTGAGGAATCGAACTCAGGGCTTCATGCATGCTAGGCAAGCACTCTACCACATTCCCAGCCCCCAGGAGAGTCTTACCTCCAATTAACTACCAGAAAACTGGAAATGGCGCTGTGGCTCAAGAGGTAAGTACATTCACCTTGATCTGAAGAGCTCAGGGGCAGTGCCGAGGACCTTGGGGGCTTGAAGCCCCAGGACTGACAAAAAAACAACACAACCTTTTCCCCCTTTTATGTGTGGGTACTGGGGCTTGAACTCAGGGCTTGGGGGCTTTCCTAGAGCTTTTTCACTCAATGGTGCTCTACCACTCAGGCCACAGCTTCACTTCCAGCTTTTTGCTAGTTAACTGGAGATAAGAGTCTCACACTTTCCTGCCTAAGCCGGCTTCAAGCCCAGATCCTGAGATCCCAGCCTGAGATCCGGAGTAGCTAGGATTACAGGCCTGATCCACAGGTGACAGTCAATTAAAAAACCTTTCTTGCCTCAGTCTCGGCAGTGGAACTGGGCCTTCAAGGTCAAGGCCCACATGCTGCCATGCAGCCATCAAGGCCTTGGATGCTCTCTGCCCAAGGGCCACGGGGTCCTGGATGCTCACCTCCATGCCCATTTTCCCCTCTGGGCCTGACACCTCACTCTAAGGACCAGGCCTTCCACCGTAAGATGTCTCTCCACAGCAGGGCCTGTCTGCAGGACAACTGCCCTCAGGGCTGTGACAAAAAGTGGGTTTCCAGCCAGGCCAAAAAAAAAAAAAAAAGTGAGCTCCCTGCAGAGCTCATGGGGCCCTCACACGTGGGCCAACTGGTAAGCATCTTAAGAACTGGAACATTCTGGAAGGTTCTCTCGGAGGTCGTGCGCAAGTGAGGTGGCGAGGCATCCATTTTCCCTCAGAGACTCGCGAGACTAGGGTTTGGAGTCTGACTGGAAGACAAAAGCGGGCAGGGCGGGAAAGGTAAGCGCCCGGGGGTGGTAAGAGGTCCTGGTACGGTCAGACTTCCATGGCCCCTTCTACGCACGCGCTAGGAACAGTGGGAGGCGTGGCCTACACCAGAACGCGGGCGTCCAGAGCGGGAGGCGGGGCGGAACGACGATGCGAGCATCCCATTGGAAGGTGGCGAAGGGAGGGGCTTGGCGCTGCTGCTGCGAGGCAGGCCCCGCCCCCAGGCCCGCGGGGAGCGGCGCAGCGGCGGAGGCGGTGAGCGCGGTGAGCGCGGTGGGCACGGGCGGCGGCGGTTGGCGGGCTGGCCTTCTGTGGTTGGGGCCGCCGCGGCCTCCTCGCTTGGGCTCGGGCGCCGTGCTGGACAGGCCGAGGCGCCCGGTGAGCCTGGCCTGTGCAGCCCCTCGGGTCCGCTGGGCGGGGCTGAGGCGGCGAGGCCTGGCTGGGCCTGTGGGAGGGACGGCCCCCGGCTGGCCGGGAGACTCGTCCCCGGGTGTGCACCTTGGAGCCTGCTAGCCGTATCCCCCCCCACCTCTGCTTTCACCCGGGTCCTTGCTGCTTCATCCTCCGTCTCTGCGAACTCGTATTTTTGCGGCCGCAGACGCATTTTCTGCTCCCTGGAAACCCGTCCTTACTACCTGATCCCCTTCTCCCGTCGACTAACTGCGAATCGCATCTTTGCTGCTGGAACACCTCCCCCCGCCCCCCCCCCCGTTGGCCCACATGTGAGGGTCCCCCGCGTCCCTGATCTCTGCTGCGTGATCCTTCATCGCTACTGCAAAAAGCTCATTCTTGCTGCCTGAACCCCACCTCCCCTACCTTACTGCTGCGAACCCTCGTCTTTGCTGCCTGGATTCCTGTCTGCTGCTCGAAACCCTCCCCCTCCTCATCCCCCACCGGTTCCTCTGCTACCTAAACTCCCCCCTCTGCCATACTCACCCCCCCCCTCCCATCACCAGCTTTCCATTTCTGTCCACAGCCTAGGCCGCCTTGGCCTTGGGTTTAGAGAAGGTTTGCAGCTGTCCCTGTCCTTTCAGGGACATGGCAACCCAAAGAGAGAGCAGTCCTCAGCTCTGTGGGGTTTTTGTTTTGTTTTGAATGCTCTGTGGGCTACTGTTTAACTCCCTGAGCAGGGGAGGGTTGTAAGATGTGATTGTTTAAAATGCCTGTCGTGTGGAGGTTCGAGGCAGGCCTTCAGCCCAGGGATGATTTATTCAGGAGCCTTTTAAAAATAATCTGGACAGAACCTTTGGGAAGGAATCTGATGTATTTTATTCATGGGGGATGGTGTGTGTGTGTGTGTGAGGGGGAAACAACAACAACACAGACACCTGCCTTCCTAGGTACCAAGGCTGTCCTGTCCCTTTTTTTGTTTGTCAATGGGCTCTTAGGCACTAAGCATCTCATTTTGAGGTTACAGAATTGAACCATTTACTTGCAGGATAAGTCAAGCTCACCTTTGCCCTTGAGGGTTATGTCTGTGTTAAAATAGCAAGCAAACGCCTTCATAAACCACCGTGCAAATTTTGTTGCAGGGCACATCAGCGGCAGACCTTGAAGCATTTTGTCTGTGCCAAATCATTACCACTTGCCACATGAGTCCCAATCATGACGGATGCCAAGTATGTCCTCTGCCGATGGGAAAAGCGATTATGGCCTGCGAAGGTGACAGCCATTATTCTGTAATTTCAGGAATTAGAAATGACTTTCAGATGACAAGTAAAATCTTTATCAGGCTCCTGTACCTAGGAGTAGCTTGGGTGGAATAATTGAACCTGAACAGTTGGCGCCTGGATCTGTTGGCACAGATCCCCGTTCCCCATTTAATGGGGTTTTGGTCTACTGCTTACAAAGTCTCATGCTTCCGAAAGTGTCTTTTTTTTCACACTATGAAAAAAAAAAACAGAGTCAGCTATAAAAAGGCATGTGAGGCTCTGACTCAAGAGAATATCTGGCAAGAAGCCTCATGATAGTAAATAACAGTAGTGTTTTGGGGACGCCTTCCAGCAGTTCAGCAGGAAGTGCTGGGCTGGAAGGCAAGGAGCCTGGGTCCCTGGACTGAGGTCTCCTTTGGCTTTATGTGCCTCATTTTCCTATTTGAGTTAAGGGGATTGGATCTAGTATCTGAAATCCTGCAGTTGTACTTACTACATTTGTATTCTTGTGTTTGCCTCTGTTCCTTAGTTTGTCTCAATAACAAGGATTATTTTTTTCTTTTAAACTTAGGTATTGGCCAGAACGGAGACTCCAACAAAAAATAAGAGAAAAAAGACATTCTTTCTAGATGTTCAAATACTCTCCCTAGAGGAAAAGTTAAGTGTTATGTTTTCTTAATACTTTTTTTTTTTTGCCCCCTGTCTGGGATTTCTAATACTCTTCTGTGATCCCCACAACATGAGATCCACTTGTAAGGGTTGATAATGCTGTAGATACTATTATTTATTATTAGTTCCTAATCAGCTTTATGAGGATGACACCTTGATTCTACTTTATGCTAGTTTGGAAGTTGAAGATCTGAGCAAAGCATCTGTAAGATCCACAGAGAGATTTTAACGAAATTTGAATAAACAAGCTATACCCAAGAGCAACTCTTTTTCGGGTCCAAATAGAGAGCTTTCCTTCTCAGATTAGTGTATCTTCTTTTGGAAACTGCAGGGGCCTGTCGGTTTTGAAGCCTTTGATTTCCAGCTTGGCACTCCAATAAGAAACAATTTTTCAGCATTCAAAAGGTTATTGAGTAGTTAAGGGGCAATCCAGTATTGTCCTATACCTGATTATCTGGGTGTGAAGAGGTGTGGGTTGTCTGCAAGGACAATGAGTACTTCAGTGATGTGTGATGGTGCTGGCGTGTCTGGGGTCAGAATCCCCACTTCTAAAGAGTTCCCTGGCTGGTTCTCTTTCTTGCTTGTGTCTCTTGGGGGGCTCCCTGGCCCCACTTCTTCCCTGCCATCTCCCGCTTCTTCAGAGCTGCCTCAAGAGCCCGCCTGGCCCCCAGCTCACACTCTCCCTGCGGCTGGGAAGGTAATTGAATACTTGAGTTAAAAAGGAAAGACATCCTTTTAAACTAAAACACGCCTGCTGGGCTGTAAACAGCTTTTAGTGACATTATCGTCTACTCTGGAAACCTAACAAAGGAGTTATTTGTGCAGTTGAAAGTCGGATTTGCCTCATAAAAGTCACAATTTGAATTTATTTTTACTCTTAACTCCAGCCAACCTTTTCTGTCTTAAAAGAGAGAGAGAAGGAGGGGGAAAAAACCCACACCCACCGGGGTCCTTGCTGCCTATAACCTCAGGCAGACGAATTCCTAGTTGGCTGTGACTTTTGGTGTAAGTGGAAGGTTGAGGAGGGAACTGAATCTAATTCTTTTGTCATCTGGAGAAAAACATGTTTGAAAGTGTCTCGGAGGCCTTAGCTGCTAGTGTATAACCGCGTCTGTCCCTGCAGAATCCAGGTGAGGAGCACAGAAGTCAAGGTCCTAAAGAAGTCTCAAATTGAGAACATTGCTGCCTTGTTAGGTAAGAGCACACTTCGGGTGACCGTGAGTTTTGACAAAAGGAGCTTGGGAGAAGGGAAGAAAACTCCGCTCTGTCGGTAAAAATTTACCCTGTGCAGTCTGTATTTCCTTATGGAAGGGAATGTGAATGACATATGATGAGAAAGGAAAAAAACCCAGGTCTGTTATCCCAGCACTCAGGCTAAACAGGGGTTCCAGGCAGAAACAAAGACAAAAAAAGGTAGCTTGGATCTGCTTGCTTTTTTTTTTTTTTTGGTGCCAACCTGGGCTTGAATTTAGGGCTTGTTTTTGCTCAGGGCTAGTACTACAGTGCCATGTCCAGGTGGTTTGTTTTTTTTGTGTTTATTTTTTTATTTTTTTGGTAGTTAATTGAAGAAAAGTCTCACAGACTTTCCTTCCCAGGCTGGTTTTGAACCTCCAACCTCAGATATCAGCCTCCTGAGTAGTTAGGATTATAGATTTGAGCTGCTGATGCCCGGCTAGATCTGCTTTCTTAAGCCTTTCCAGGATTTTCCAGTTTTTTTGTGTGTATATTGAACTTTTTTTCAGACCAATACTGGCCACTTGAGCCACACCTTCAGTCCAGTATTTTGTTGGGTAATTAGAGATGGTATCTGGCAGATTTTTCTGCCTGGATTGAGTTTGAACCTCAGTCTTTCAAGTCTCAAACTCTGAGTAGCTAGGATTATTGGCATGAGCCATCAGTAATTTTTTTTTTCCTTTTGGCTGGATTAGAGACAGAATCTGGGGCCTTGTACTCACCAGTGAGCTGCGATCTCGGCCCCTACTCCTGTGTTTTTTGGGGGAGGGAGGCATTTGAGGCAGAATCACAATATATATTCCAGGCCGGCCCGGAACTCTCGATTCTTTGCCTCAGACTCAACTGCTGCGTTTACAGATGTGCCATGAGGCCTGGCCCTCCTAGTCATGTTCTTTATTTAAGGTTTAAGGCCATTTCAATAAATAGTTCTCTCAAGTGATCTAAAGACATTGATGAGTTTACTGCCATGGGGGAAGGGGGGTGTGGCTCCCCGCCCCCCCCCTTTTTTTTGGCTATCCCACAGGTAAGGCTGTAAACTGGCTCTCTTGCCATCTGGCTAAAAAGCACTTGGTTATGTAAGATTCCAGAACAGAGCCCAAGAAGAGAAAGAGTGGGGTAGTCTAGGATCTGCACTGGTTGCTGCCCATTATATGCAGGTATTGTCTGGATAGGAATGAGGCTGGTCAACTGGCAAGCGGGACTCTGCTTCCTTCTCCAGAACGCTTAATTTAGCAGCTATCCTCTGTGCATTTCATAGCTGAGAGGGACTTGAAGTAAGCCTGGCAGAGCCAGAGATCTGTCACATGCATACACAGCTAGAGAACAGTAATCATCCTCTGGGTGCCCACCTAATCACTTTCTAGCAAAACCAGACTTAAAATTGCTCTTGGTAGGACGCCTAGGACTCAAACCTATACTCCTAGCTACTCAGGAGGCTGAGACCATGGGATCCTGGTTTGAAGCCAGCCTGAGCAGGAAAGTCTGTGAGATTCTTATTTCCAATAAAATACCAAAAAAGCCAGAAGTAGAGCTGTGTCTCAAGTAGTACAGCGCTAGCCTTAAACATAAAGAAACTCAGGAAAAGCACCCAGGTCTTGAGTTCAAGCTCCAGGGCCAGCACCCAAAAATAAAAAAAATTGCTTTCTGCCTTTAAAATAGGAGCACTTATTTATTGTATTGGCAAAGGATGATTTGTCTTGTGAAAACATTGACCAGAATCCCTTCCCACAGTGTTTAGTAAATGAGGCTCAGTTTCCTGTCCTAGAAAACTGCTATTGTTTGGTGGTGTAAGATCCCATCCGCCTGTTGAAGGTGGTGCTGACATCCGACCCCGGGTGGCATCTACACCACTGGCTCAAACCCTGTTGGGGGGATGACCACTTGTGGGTGTCTTTAATATTAAACGGGCAAAATACTGTTTTGATTGAGGCATTGTGCCCGCTGAGTTGTGATATTGCCTCTATCATCTTGTTCAAATAAGTAGCGCCGTGTCTGTATGTCGGAATGAATAAATAAAACTATGGCAGCGGGAGGATGGGCGCAGACTAGAGGCCTGCGACATGCCTTTATGGCTTTGAAATGCCCTTGCAGAGAAGTGGAGGAACCAAGCAGCATACAATGAGTCTTTTTATATCCCCCCGTTAGCTGATCACTCCCCCCCCCCCAACCCCAGCCAAGCACCCACTACCAGCCGAGTTCTTTATTTGGTTGGCATTGGGTTTTATTGACCCTGATTGAATTGGAAATTGTAAGGCTGACAGAGGATTTGCAAAACATTTGAATACATTTTGCTCCCAGTATTGTTTTGTAACTTGAAGGAATTTATCGTTTTAGCCAATCAGGTTAAGGTCAGTATTTTTTTTTTTAATTGCAGCTGAGAATGAATAGCTGTCTTCTAGCTTTGTCTCCTTTTAGAAAAACGTAGGTTAGAGATATTAGGCCCGACTTCACTCAGGAGCAGATGGATGCTAGTGACTGAAGTTTATAGATACTTAAGCTTTTGAGAAAGCAAGATTATGGTGGTAGTGCCTGGGTCCCTGAGTGTAATAACTAGCATGTGTCTTCCATCCTTACAGCCTCAGAGAGCCAAATCCCCACCGCACCCCTGGAGGAGCTGACCTATAGACGGTCACTACGCGTGGCTTTAGATGTTTTGAGTGAGACACCCAGTTTGAATCAAGAAAACCATTCAAGGAAAGATGAACTTGCACTATCTCAGAGAGAAAAGCAGTGTACAGAAGCAGCCTCCTCACGCTCTGGTTCTCCATCTTCATCTTTACCTTGTGAAGATGTGTCGGCTGATTCTGGACCCGAGAGGAAGGAGGGATACAAACCACAAAGTTTGTCACAGTCATCCACTAGTGAAAAAGAAGTGGAGCATAAGAAGGGGCTCGGGAAAGGTGAAACCCCAAGGGCCCAGTTCACTGCTTCAGCTGGAGAAGGTTCTCACAATGAAAGTGGATTAAAGATTCACCACAGAAATCTGACTCTGGCACGTAAGTCCAGCTGGTGCCAGACAGTGCCTATCCTTTCCAGGAGAGAAATCAAAGAAGAGAATAAGAGACAGGCCTGGCCTTCTCAAGCCAAGGAGAGTGATCCATGTGCCAGTGCCGAAGGATATGACCCATCAGGCAGCCTCACAGTGCTCCCCGCCCTGGAGCAGACTGGGGAATGTTCTGCAAAAAGATTGCGCCTAGATAAAGGCCAGAGGCCACATGCCACACATCTGCAGACAGGTTCCAAGGGGATAGCACTTGAAGGCGCAACGTTGTCCACTAGGCAGGAGACAAGTGAATGCACGACTTTGCACAGAGCTGCCAATAAACCCAGTCCAGCTCCCTCCAACACTCAGGCAGAGCAACCCAGCAATCCTCTTCGGGACCGTGACAGTGACAGGATAGAAGAAGGTAAGCGAACTCCGGCAGTGCCTGAGCTAGATCCTTAGATCCTCAACTCCTCCCTGGGCTTGGGCTTTGCCAGTCCGGATCCTCAGGCAGCTCTTGAGTATTTTTAACCAGATCTTAATGAGACTGTTTCCAAAATAGATTCCGAGCAGAGATTTCTCATTCCTTTGTCTCCCCACTGAGCTATAATTACCTCAGCTCCTCCCAAATATTTAGGTCTTTATTTTTGTTTGAAGCGGAGCAAGTTGGAAAGGGAGCCTCTGGCAGAGTGTGAGGGGTGGCTGTTGGTGACACAGGCAGCGATGCATGGGGCCGGGATGCCTGCTGCATCTGCACCCTTAGGGTTTTCTCTTTATTCTTAATCTTTGCAGAACTAATAATGCATTCCCGGTAGATGAGGTAGGACTTGCAAAAAGTGATTAAAAGTATCCCGACTTGCGGAGTTCCCATGTAACCATCTTTGTGTGATTGTGGAGACCTGTGATTTTTTTTTTTCCGCCTAAACCTTGTAGCATCCCACTTAGTTTTGAAATGCTAATTCAGAAATCTTACCCACTTTGTGGTCAGATATCTGGAAATGGCTTCATTGCAGACATACAGCACAGATCTCTGTTAATTGGAAATTTCCTTCCCAGGCCCTCTACTCACACATTGGAAGGCTACAGGGAGCTGGCGTGTGCCATGTTCTAAAGAGATGGTGACTGCCCTCTACCTTGTTTGGAGCTCAATCTGGAATTGAGTTATTCATGCTCTGTCGGTCCCCTGTACTTCAGAAGGAAGAAGGGAGGGGGGAAAAAACACATTGAAAAAGAATTCCCATTTAGGAAAAGGGAGCACCTGTCTTGTGCTGAAATTCACCCTTTGAGACCCCTGGCTTCATCTCCCTTGTCTTGGGTTCTGAGCAACCAGCTGTCCAACCTCAAAGGGAGGACCCAGCTTCCAGCTGCTCAACCTCATTTATTGAGTGTTTACTGAACACTTCCTAGGCTGCCTTCTGAGAAGGGTTCTAGGACTTAGGCCACTAGATAAGTAAAGAAAAGGCAACGCTTATGACCTCTCCATTGTTGACACAATGCTTGTATCACCTTTCCACAGAATATGCTCCATGAATATTTGTTGAATGGCCCAGTGGAAAAAGAAAATAATTCCCATCCAGAATATGTTGAATTTATCATAATTTAGTTTTAGGTTGTTGCTTCTTAGGAGCAGCCTCTTTATGACATGAAAGCATGTTCTCTCTCTCTCTCTCTCTCTCTCTCTCTCTCTCTCTCATTTTCTCCCCCATTTAAAATATACTCTGGAAACTAGATGTGGTGGGTGATGCCTGTTAGGATTATGACTACCAGTCTTATCTGCCCTATATAACAAAACCTGTCTCAAAAACCCAAGAGCATACACAAAAAGGCTCAGAGGTTAAAAAACAAAAAACCATAACAAAAACCCATAACAATCAGAAAGAGACATAATAAAATGGACTCTAATTAAGGTATATCTTATTTTGAGTTCTGCACAGCCTAGGGTCTTTTCCTTTTATATCGATGGCCATGTGTCATAAAATGTTTTCTTGGGATGAAGTTACAGTGACAATACAATATAATGAAAGTCTAACCTCACATTCTTGGCAGACCCTCAGTCCTCTGAAGAGTCCATGGAGTTTAATTCCATTAATTCCATTCTGGAGGAAGATGAGGAAGATGAGGAGCCACCAAGAATCCTTTTGTATCATGGTAAGAAAGCACCAGAGTCTGCTGTATTCATGTAGGAGGGAGAAATGTGGGCCATGGCTCTGAAAACATTTCTGACATTAGCCACCAAGTCTCTTGGGTCATTTTTTTCCTACCAAACGAGAGCCTGGCAGGGACCCTAAGAAATGCCCCTTTTCAGTCCCCTCATCTGAAAAAAAAAAAAAAGATCTTTACACAAAGAGAAGAGGGGCTCAGCCCTTGTCCTTGGTCCCCTCCAAGGGTCTGAGGGTGGCTGAGTGAATTGATGGGCTATACTGCCCTCCTTTGGGCGTGGCCGCACACTGCCTCACCAGTTCTGCAGCCTCTGATCAATCCCTTTGGCAATGGCCAAATTGGTCTTTCCAGGAATGCTATGGGGTCTCCCCTTCCCACCATTCCTGTTTTCCCCAGAGGAAAAGGTACTTGTTTCCAGGGAAGCAGGACACAACTACAAAAGGATCCAGAGGTTTGAACAAGCACCAAACGAAAAGTCTAGAACCAGCTCTGCTTTTAGACATGATGCTTATCTCTGGCCTGTCCACTTCTAGTTTGGAATTAATTGTGGATTCATAGGATGGGGTAGGGAAACTATAGGAAAGTCTGTTCAGCCTATCACCTGCTTGCCCCAGTGGTGACATTCTACAAAGCTATAGGCATCTGTGCAGCCAGACACTGGCCGGTTCTAATGCGCAGGAATAGATGTGTGCATGCCTTTGTACAAGTGTGTGTGTGTGTGAGTGTGAGTGTGTACGCTTTGTTTGTGTGGCTTTTCTGTTCTTTTCATATAAACTACTAAGAGCTTTTCATCATTAATAAGTATAATTATAATTTCACTTTGTGTATGTGTGTGTGCTAGCTCAGTTTTTTCATTTTGTGTGTGTGTGTGTGTGTATGTATGTGTCACGTTCTCACCATCTCCTAATTGTTCTTAGTGGGAATTGGTTATCATTTTCTGGGGGTGATGAGTCATTTTGTTGTGTCCTCCCCAACTGCCTTCCACTGAGTGTCTGGACTGTTCCAAGGCCATAGAAGCCATAACACCCCTGCAGTGCATTTGTGAGGAGTAAGTGGTGGAAGATCAGCAATCACTGCTAGCATGAGCAGGATTAACTAGCCACAAAGAAGGAACCCCATACCTTCCTGGAGGGACCTTTCCTTCTATCTGTGGCCACCAGCCAGGGATGGGGGTCATATGGCCACAGCCCCAGGATTTTACCCCTTTGTCCTGACAATCGCTTGAAATAGCTTTTGCTCCCTGTTGGTTTCGTGTTTTACCCATCAGGCCAAACTCATTCTGAGTATTTACTTACCACCTCCACATTGGCCAAGTGTGCCTGTGTCCAGTTAATCCATGCTGGGCCTCAGAGTGTCCTCAAGCTAAATGCCTCCCCCAAGTGGAAAGATGACTTCCTGAGAGTGCAGATGCTCATCCTGGTTTGCCTTCCTTCTCAAGGGCATTAATTTTTATAGTCATATGTGGTGGCTTTGAATTATCATCGTAGGCCCGCGCCCCACACAAGCCTCTGCTTTCTGCTGGCACTTGACTTAAAAAATTTTTTTTTATTGCTTTTATTTATTTGTTGGCCATGGGGCTTGAACTCAGGGCTTAGGCACTGTCCCTGAGGTTTGTTTGTTTGTTTGTTTTGTTACTATAAAGGTGTTGTAGAATGGGGTTATAGTTCCAGAAGTCAGGTAATGAGTACATTTCTGTTTTTTTGGACAATGTCACCCCTTCCTGCCATTTGATTTTTAAAGATTTAAACTATTCCCTTATCCTAGAATTAAGAGGAGCAGGCAAAAAAATATAGTTAAATAATTCTATTCACCAACAATTTTGTAGTTATTTCACGGCTTAATTTTCCCCCTATTTTAAGATCTTAGGTTTTCAGGTGAGTTTCTTTGAAATTATTTTTTTCTGCTTATTAGCAATTACCTCACTTGTGCTTTGTATCCCACTCTTATTTTATTTATCTTTGTAGTACTAAGGACAAACTTGGGGCCTTATACATATTCAGAGCACTGAGTAAGCACTCCTCCATTGAGCTTCATCTCAGCCTGAACCACACTTGTTTTCTTAAGTTTTCTTTTTCTTTTCCTTTTTCTTCCTTTTCTTTTTTCTTTTTGTATGTGTGTATATGTGTGCGTGTGATATTGAAGTGTGAATTTGGAATGATTTTAGACTTAGAGAAATTGCATGTACAGCACAGAGAGCATTTGTCTTTTCTTCCTATTAGCACATTGACCATAGAACCAGGAAACCACACTGTACCACTGCCGTCTGCCTCTTGGTCTCACAGTTGACAGTTAGACTCTGGCGACACGGGTTATATATGCCTCCAAATTTTCTTGTTTCAAGTTGTTACGTTTATTGCTTGATATGGCTCTGACTTGTCTTGACCTTTTCTGTTTTTCTTTTCATTCTAGAACCACAATCATTTGAAGTAGGAATGTTAGTCTGGCTTAAATACCAAAAGTACCCGTATTGGCCGGCTGTGGTAAGAGTACCCTCAACTCCATCGGTGTAAAGCCAGGTCCCCTCATCCTTTGCGTAGGCAGATTTTGGGGGTTTTGTTACTACTAGAAAAGTGGGTGGTTGGGAGGGGGGTTTGGGGGGGACGTTATATAAGGAAAATAAAACCAGATTCACATTGATCTAACAGAAAGTTTGCTCTTTTGGCTACCGTTTAATGTGAGGTTCACTTGTCAAATTTGTACCAAGCAGACTTAGACAAACCTATTTGAGAGAAATACTAGCAATTTATTCATTTTATGTGCATACCAAGATTTTCTTCCATTAAAGCTGGTGAATTTAAGTGGCGTAACTGCATACCTATAATCCTGGTTTTTCAAGGAGGCTGAGATCTGAGGATAAGGGTTCAAAACCAGCTGGGAAAGAAAGTCCATGAGATTCTTATCTCCAGTTAACCATCAAGAAAAGCTAGAAATAGAGTTGTAGCTCAGTGGTAGAACATCAGCCTTGAGTGAAAAAACTGAGAGACAACACTTAGGCTCTGGGTTAAACCCCCAGAACTGGCCCCCCCCCAAAATAAAAAAAATCTGGTGACTTTAGATTTTATGATAGAAATCTGTTGTTTATTTAAAGAGATATCACAGCACTTGGGAGGCTGAAGAGCATGAGGATTGTAGGTTTGAGACCAACATAGGCTACACAGCAAAACCCTATCTTAAAACACACTCAGGCACCAGTGGCTCACGCATGTAATCCACATGGAAAGCCAACCTGGGTAGAAAATTTTGTGAGACTCCATCTCCAATGAACCAGCAAAAAGAGGGCTGGAGGTAAGGCTCAAATGATAGAGCACCAGCAAGAAGCTGTAAATTGAATCCCCAGTACTGCCAAAAAAATAAAGTGGAGGAGAGGATTAAGGGAAGAAAAAGGTGAAGGGAAGGGAAGACAGCAAAAAAAGAAAACAAAAAGCAAACCCCAAAGAGATGTTTCTGCCAGGCAGCGGAGGCACACACCTATAATCCTGGCTATTCAGGAGGCTGAGATCTGAGGATCACGTTTCAAAGCCAGCCAGGGCAGGAAAGTCTATGAGACTCTTATCTCCAGTAAACCATTGAGAAAACTGGAAGTGGTGCTATGGCTCAAGTGGTAGAACGCCTTGAGCTGAAGAGCTGAAGGACAGTGTCCAGGCCCAGAGTTCAAGCGCCTTGACTTTGCATCCTGCATATGTTTAGATGCCACAGAACAGTAGTATTTTTGTTTTTGTTTTTTGATGTTAGTCCAGGGGCTTGAATTCAGGGCCTGGATACTGTTCGTGAGCATTAAAAAAAAATTATTATTATTGAGGTGATGTACAGAAGGGTTACAATTTCATGAGTCAGGTAAATAATATTTATTTGGGGGCAGTGTTACCTCTTCCTTTGTTGTCTCCGTTTTTTCCTCCCCTAACCCCCCCTAAGTTGAATAGTTCATTTCCAACATAGTATCCACTGAGTACCACAGCCGTATTTGTTCACCCTTTGTCTCTCCATTTCTGTGGCCTCCTTACCCCCTCCCAAAGACAAACAGGCAAGACAAAAAAAAAAAAGAACAAGAAAGAAAACACCAAAAAGTAAAAAACAGACGGACAGTACTATCTTTACCAAAAGCAGGGGCAAGGGAGGACGCTGACTACGACAAAACACACAAAAAACCCCATTGCTTTCAGTTCTGGAATTTGATAAATATTATTTTAAATGTCCAGAGGCACATTCGCATTGCACCTTTGGGTTCCTCCTCTAAGAGTAGCCCCCTTTAGTCTCACTATGTGTGAATGCCTAGCGTCTTGTATAATTTATCATGTTCCGATGTATTTTAGATCTTGCTTCTGTGTATGAGAGAAAACATGTGCCGTTTGTCTCTGAGCTTGGGTTATCTCATGTAACATGATTTGTTCTAGGATTATCCTTGTTCTTGAAATTTTTTTTGCTCAGGGCTAGCTCTCTACCACTTGAGCCATAACTTCCAGGGTTTTTTGGTGCTTAATTAGAGATAAGAGTTTCTTGGGTTTTCCCAAACGGCTTCGAACCACAATCTTCAGCTATCAGCCTCCTAAGTAGGTGGGACTATTAGCATGAGTACACTGGCTCCCGGCAGTATTAGGATTTTTTTTTTAAGGTTGCTCCTGGGTCTTTCTCCTTCAGTTTTTAGCCCTCACTTTCTCTTCTGGCATACACACAGGATTTTGATTATTTTATATATTTATTCTTGATATAGAATTCAGGGACTGACACATTGCTAGGCAAGTGTTACACCACTGAGCCATACTCTAGCCCTAGTTGTGTGGTCAAAAAACAACAATGTTTAAATCTAGAAGGTCAGCCAGATGGCTCGTGCCTGTAATCCTAGCTACTCACTAGATTGAGATCTGAGGACCACGGTTCAAAGCCAGCTTGAACAGGGAAGTGTGTGAGACACTTACGTTCATTAACTACCAAAAAGCAGGAAATGGAGCTGTAGTTCAAGTAGTAGAGTGCTAACCTTGAGCAAAAAATTCAGGGATAGCCGGGCGTTGGTGGCTCTCTCCTGTAATCCTAGCTACTCAGGAGGCTGAGATCTGAGGATCACAGTTCAAAGCCAGCCCGGGCAGGAAAGTCTGTGAGACTTTTACCTCTAATAAACCACTAGAAATCTGGAAGTGGCGTTGTGGTTCAAGCGGTAGAGTGCTTGCCTTGAGCTGAAGAGCGCAGGGGCAGTGCCCAAGCCCAGAGGTCAAGCCCCACGACCAACATAAATAAATAAATAAAATTCAGGGATAGCTCCCAAGCCCTGTCAGGAAACTGAGACTTTTAACCTTTAATTAACCACAAAAGCCAGAAGTGGAGCTGTGGTGCAAGTTGTAGAGCACTAACCTTGAGCATGAAAGCTCGGGGACAGCACCCAGACTTAGAGTTCAAGTCCTAAGACCACCAGACCGGTTTGATAGACTCATAAAGTTCTAAGCTAGCCTGGGTTATATAGTAAGATCCCATCTTAAAAAAAGCAGTTAGTCAGCAAGACATACTTTTGTTGTTTTCATGGTTCTAGTCCATAACTTCAAGCCTCTTTGTTCATGCTGACTAGTTATATAAGAAACAGAATTGGATTCTGAACAGTAGCTCCTAGGTAAGATGTGTAGCCTGAGCAAATGTACCGCTAAATTGGAATCCTTAAGGGCCAGCGTGTGGTCCAGCTATGAGGGAGACATCATGTAGGGCCCTCTCCTGGTCTCCCTCCCCATGCCTACCAATGTTTTCCTTCCTGTCATTCGTTTCTGGGATCTCTATGGGACATAGAGTCCCTACCATGATGGAGCCCTGGGCGTGGGAACAGGTAATCTTGCCTGAGAGGTGATACTTGAGACTGGCCTCTCTCTGCATACAGTGTATGCATGTACAAGTGTGCATGCTGCTTTTGGGCCTTGAACTCAAGGTCTGGGTGCTGTCCCTACACTTTTTTGCTCAAGACTAGCACTCTACCACTTGAGCCATAGCTCTACTTAGGGCTTTTTTGGTGGCTATTGAAGATAAGATTATCTCATGGATTTTCCTGCCCTAACTGGCTTTGAACTGTGATCTTCAGATCTCAGCCTCCTGAGTAGTAAGGATTACAGGCGTGAGCCACTGGTGCCTGGCTGAGCTCCTTGCCTTCATTCTGTGTGCTACACTGGGGGCATTGGGATCTGGTTGACCTTAAGGAGGGTAGATGTGAGCTGGGCCTCCTTGGGTTGGCTCCCAGGCTCCCTGAGCAGCCTGCAGTGACCCAGATGCTTACAGCACAGTGGGTGCAGAGCCTTTCATTAAGGAACCAAAGTAGAAAACTAGCTTCATCTAACCCTGTTAGCTCTATGGAAAGTGACTGAGGGCAGCAAGCCTGGCCCGGGTCTCCCCTGTGCCAGGCCATATGTCTTCCACCCCCCCCCCCACACACACACACATCCCCATCCCAAATGAGGGTTGGCAGAGGAGATAGCTGAAATCTGCCCCACCATCACTTGCAAGCTTCTGATACTATTTCCTCTTGAATTTGCTGACAGGTCAAAAGCATCCGGCGGAGAGATAAGAAAGCCAGCGTGCTCTTCATTGAAGGGAACATGAACCCAAAAGGCAGAGGGTACAGAAACTACTCTTGATTTTTTTTTTTCAAGTGGTCCAGATAACTTTCTGATGGTTCTTAGGAACACGGCATGAAGAGATTGTGGGGTGCAATTGAGCAAGAGCCTACCAGGGTGTGGCACAGTCTGTATGACCCTCTCCTTCAACAGGAACAAAGGCCTGTAGCTAAAGGAAGCCGGTCAGGCACTCATGGCTCTACAAGCTGGTCTGAGCTGGTGTTTGATCCCGTCTCCCATATCATAACAAAGCTTAGTCCACAGTGACCACAACCCTTTTTGAACCTAGGTCTTACTTTTTGGCTCATGGATCAGTCTTTTGTCAGCTATTCCCTATTATAATGCACTTGCTGGCACTAACGTCCCAGTGGCATTTTGGGGGCCTGTGTGCAGCTGGTCTCATCTGGTCCTCAGGTTTTCTATGTTTCTTACAGCAGCTGGTGGGGTGCAGTAGGAACTCAGCTCTGAAGTCCTAAGGGGTTTCTAGAATTGGTTTGCTCCCCATTAGCTCCGGGGCCTAGCTATATAAGCTCCTTTGGACAGTTGAGAAAAGGGCTGCACTGGAGGCTGATGCTGCTTCTACCCCACACTGCTTTTACCAGGAAAGGAGTTTTGCTCGCTGTCTATCTCATGCATGTTAACCCTTACCTTTCCTCTGCTTCATCAAGGATCACTGTGTTTCTCAGGCGGCTGAAGCACTTTGATTGTAAAGAGAAACAGACACTGTTGGTAAGTGGATCATCGCTTGCTTGCTTGCTTCTGTAAATGGCTTATTTTGCAACTGGTCATTGTGTTCTCTGTGTGTGGCTCCCATATGGTTCTGTGGGCGTCTGGGGAAGGAATAGCTGGAACCAGAGCAGGCACCACTCCAAGTGATGACTATGGGATCACTCATTTGCATCGATGCTCATAGCCACCCTGGGATGACTGCAGTTTACAGGGGACCAAGCTGAGCCTTGGGGAAGCCATGGTGAGAGGAGGCTGCCCTGGGGCGAGGGGGCAATGGGCTGTGAGCCCTTGGAAGCTGGTGTCCCTGTGCCTAGCCAAGCATCATGAGCACAGCAGGCCCTCAGGTGTCACATGTCAGGGGGCACATGGCTGTGTCCCCAGGACTGCAGTGATCCATCAGACACCTAATTTTTTCATTAAAAATGTTCTGGCCAAGGTGGGTGCTGGTGGCTCATGTCTATAATCCTATCTACTCAGGAGGCTGAAATCTGAGGATTTCAGTTCAAAGCCAGCCTGGGAAGGAAGGACTTATCTCCAATTAGTCATCAGAAAGCTGGAAGTAGAGCTGTGGGTCAAAGTGGTAGAGCACTAGCCTTGGGCAAAAGAAGCTCCGGGACAGTGTATAGGCCCTGAGTTCAAGCCCCATGACCCTCCACCCCACTACCCAAAAAAAGTTTTAGCTGGGTGCTGGTAGCTTATGCCTGTAACCCTAGCTACTCAGGAGGTTGAGATCTGAGGATCAAGGTTTGAAGCTAGACCAGGCAAGAAAGTCAGGGAGACTCGTTTCCAATTAACCACCAACAATCTAGAAGTGGAGCTGTGGCTCAAGTGGTAGAGTGCTAGCCTTGTGAGAAAAAAAAAACAACTCAGGGACAGCATAACAACAGACAGATTTTAGTGGCTACATGGTTTATATAGCCTCCACTGGGCCTTTGCAGAGATTCCTGACTCTCCAGAAATGTGCTTTATAGTCAGGCCCTCAAGGAACGTCATTCTATGTGTTCCACTAGCCATGGACTTCAGGATGCTCTGCCATGTGGCAGGGTCCCAGGGACCCTGTGGGCATTATGTGTATCCTGGGAAATTTAGAAGGCTATGCTAGCCACCTCAAGTTTGTTCACCTGACTCTGCCACTGAGTTTCACTTCACCCCAAGCCCCATATTCCATTTCTTTAATATCTGGAAGGTTGGTGTCCAAGCTGTGTCCTGAGTCCTTGTCTATCAGTAGTTTCCTTTCCTCCAGGACAGGTGAGCCTTGTTTCTTCTTTTTTTTTTCTTTTTTTTTTGCGGGGGGTAGGGGGGGTGGAAGGTTGGTTCTGGGTCTTGAACTTAGGGCCTAGGTATTGTCCCTGAACTTTTATTTTACTCAGGGTTAGAGTTCTGCCACTTGAGCCACAGCTCCACTTCTGGCTTTTTTGATAGTTTATTGGAGAGAAGAGTCTCACAGTCTAGCTGGGCACTGGTGGTTCACGCCTGTAATCCTAGTTACTCAGGAGGCTCAGATCTGAGGATTGTGGTTCAAAGCCAGCCCGGGCAGGAAAGACTGTGAGACTCCTATCTCCAATAAACCACCAGAAAACCAGAAGTGATGCTGTGGCTCAAGTGGTAGAACACTTTCCTTGAACTGAAGAGCTGAGGGACAGCTCCCAGGCACAGAGTTCAAACCCATGACCAACAACAACAACAACAACAAAAGAGTCTCAGGTCTTTCCTGCCTGGGCTATTGCAAACCTCACTCTTTAGATCTTAGGCTCCTGAGTACCTAAGATTACAGATGTGAGCCACCAGTGCTGGCTTTTTGTTATTGTTGTTTGTCTCTTTTTTCTTATCACTTACTCTTTATAACTTGGACCCCCCCCAGCTGTCAGGCAGATAGGTCTACTGATCCTGGTGTTGGCAGAGGGCTATCAGTTGCTGCTTGAGCTTCTCTATTCCCTAGGGTACAAATCTATGTGTGGTGGGAGAGGAACAGGACCTCTTCCAACCCTGAGCTGACAACTTATTCAGCATCCATTCTGCATTTGGGATTTGAACATGGGCTCTAAAGTGCTGGGCATAGTGTTGCATTAGAATCTTACAGCTCTTAAATACATGTGTCTGAAGCATACAAAGGGTGGGTTTATTAAAAAAAAAAATCTGGGCTATGAGAAAATGAGCCTATTCCTCCTTGCAGTAACCTGGTCTCAGAGAATGTTCTTTTCCCTGAGAAAAGAAAGTTCAGCTCCACAGTGTAGTCAGTTGACAGAGGAGGTTAACGTTCCTTTTACTTAAGTGAGTGAGGTCGATGGAGCTCAGTGGGCTTAGCATGTATAGGATTTGAGTTCCATCCTCTGCACATAAAAAAATCTGAGGTAGCTCGATGCTGGTGTCTCATGACTGTAGGCCTAGCTACTCAGGAGGCTAAGATCTGAGGGATCCAGTTCTGTCAGCCCAGGCTGGAAAGTGTGTGACTGATGGATGGCATTTGGGGGACACTCACAGCAGCAAGAGGTAGACAGAATCAAGGTATCATCCTCATTTTTGGGTGAGAACAGGGAGGCCCTGGGCAGTATCCCTTTCCTTTTTGGGGTCGCTCATCTTCCAGCATTTTATGAGCAGGCAAGTTGATATCTTCAGGTACACGGATCATTGAGAAGAATCATTTTCATAGCTTGCCTCTTTTTCTTTCCGTTTTTTCTTTTTCTTTTTCTTTCTTTCTTTTTGTAATACTTGGGTTAGAACCAAGGGCCTCACACTTGCCAGGTAAGTGCTGTACCACTTTTTTTTTTTTTTTTTGATATTGTGAAAATAACCTATTTTTAGCTGGGTGCCGGTAGCTCACGCCTGTAATCCTAGCCACTCAGGAGGCTGAGATCTGAGGATTGCAGTTCAAAGCCAGCCTGTGCAGGAAAGTCCATGGGACTCTTATCTCCCATTAACTGCCAGAAAACTGGAAGTGGCCCTGTGGCTCATGTGGTAGAGTGCTAGCCTATGAAATGAATTGCTGAGGGATAGCACCCAGCCCCACAACCAACAAAAAAAGAGAGAAAAGAAAAAAAGAGAAAATATCCTATTTTTTTGTGTTTTAATTTAAATTTTAAAATTATTATTAAAAAGATGATGTGGGTCTGGGAATGTGGCTTAATAGTAATGTGCTTGCCTAGTAAGCCTGAAGCCCTGGGTTCAATTCCTCAGTACCATATAGACAGGAAAAGCCGGAAGTAGTGCTATGCATCAAGTGGTAGCTCAGGGACAGTGCCCAGGCCCTGAGTTCAAGCCCCAGGACCCGCCAAAAAAAAAAAGTCCATTTAATGACCATGTTGGCTACACTGGAAATACTCGTCTGCTGTCGTCTCTAGAGAGTTGTTCCCAAGCCAGTGGGGATACGAGTGGCCACAGTATTGAGTATTGCTCTGTTTGACCTTGGGAATCCCTGCATGGCAAATGCAGACAAGTTTGAAGGTTGCTCAAGGCTGCCTAGTGGGGCCTGGGACTGCGGCACAGTCTTTTTTTTTTTTGGCGGGGGGGTGTCCATTGTGGATTGAACTCTGGACTTGGGCACTGTTCCTCAGCTCTTCATTTCAAGGCTAGTGCTCTACCACTTGAGCCACAGTGCCACTTCCAGCTTGTTTTTTCTGCTTATGTGGTGCTGAGGAATCTAACCCAGGGCCTCATGCATGCAAGGCAAGCGCTCTACCACTGAGCCACCTTCCTAGCCCGCGGCACAGTCTTTAAACACACTAAAGCCCAGCTATTTGTTTTTTAGGACAAAGCCAAGGAGGACTACGATCAGGCCATTGGCTGGTGTGTGTCCCTCATCACTGACTACCGGGTGCGGTTAGGTATGTGGGGCTATACCCTGGGACTAGAGAGACACGCATGATTTAGCACACTGGGACAAAGGAGCTAAGTAGTGAGCACCGGCCCCAAAGTCCTCCCAGGGGCTCACTGAAGCCCAAGGAATGTGATCCCTGGCTCCAGACCCTTCTGTTGATCGGACAAGCCCAGGGCATCCGGTCCCTTTTAGAGACAGATGTGAACACAGAAGGTTAGGTCACTTCAGTGAGCACTGGTTTCCACCTAACCTGAGTCTGCAATTTTTATTAATTAGGTGACTCTCACCCCAAATTCCTTAGAGTGTGTCCCACAAAGCCCTCACAAGTCGGAGTAGAAAAATTCCAGGAGATATACTAAACCAAAGACCCTGAAAAGTACCTGTTGTCTAATTATAATGTCTTCCACCCCTGCGCAGGCTGTGGCTCCTTTGCTGGTTCTTTCCTGGAATATTATGCTGCTAACATCAGTAAGTGTAAAAGCACATCTGTGAGACCCACACTCGGTGTGTTTGCCCTTGAGAAATAATTATCCTCTAAGGATGAGGCTATAAGGTTAGAGCTATAATCTTGGGTGCCACCACATCCTTAACAGAGCCCTGTGACCCTGACATGGTTTTATTCTGCCCCCTGAGGTTCCCTGAGGTGTGTCAGGGCTGTCCCTACACATGTCCTACTCTCCCTATCGAAATCCTACTTTAGAGTAGGATTTTAAGTGCTTTTCATGATAGATCTGGCATTTGCAATTACGAACTAGAATGAATTTTTGTTCCTCTGGGTCACTGAAGTATGGGAGAGTGAAGAGATGATTCCTTTTCTTTTTTTTTTTTTTTGTCAGCCATGGGGCTTGAGCTCTGAGCCTGAGCACTGTCCCTGCACTCTTCAGCTCAAGGCCAGTGTGCTACTGCTTGAGCCACAGCACCACTTCCAGTTTTCTAATATATATATATTTTTTTTCTTTGGGGGGGTGGTCTGGTCATGGGGCCTGAATTCTGGGCCTGGGTGCTGTCCCTCAGCTCTTCAGCTCAAGGCTAGCACTCTACCACTTGAGCCACAGCGCCACTTCCGGCTTTCACTTCCAGTTTTCTAGTGGTTTATTGGAGACTAGAGTTTTACCGACTTTCCTGCCTGGATTGGCTTTGAATCGTGATCCTCAGATCATCTCAGCCTCGTGAGTAGCTAGGATTACAGGTGTGAGCCACCAACACCCAGGGAAAAGATGATTCTTTTGCAGCGCTAGAGCTGTTATATGTCTGTGTTTCTCTGAATGGGTTAAACATTACTAAAGGACACTGTTCATGGAGAAAAATCAGGGATCCTGTTAAACAAAAGGTGCTTGGAAACTTAAAAATCCCACCTCAGGGGCATCTGGGGAACATGAGGCTCTCCTGCTATGTGCCTCTGAGTGTTGCCTTCCACCTCTTCCAGATTGAGATTCCAGATTTGGTACTTAGGCTGGCTCTTGCACAGGAATACAATCCAATTGTCACTGATGTTTGCATTGCAGGTTATCCTGTGAGGAAGTCCATCCAGCAGGACGTACTGGGGGCCAGCTTTCCTCAGCTGAGCAAGAGGGACTCCGAGGAGCAGGAGGTGGGCAGCCCTATGGGACGACGACAGCCCTGCAGGAAGGTGCTGCCTGACCGCTCCCGTGCTGCTCGTGACCGGGCCAACCAGAAGCTGGTGGAGTATATTGTGAAGGCCAAGGGTGCAGAGAGCCACCTGCGGGCCATCCTGAAAAGCAGGAAGCCATCAAGGTGGCTAAAAACATTCTTGAACTCCAGCCAGTATGTGACCTGTGTGGAGACCTACCTAGAGGATGAGGAGCAGCTAGACCGGGTGGTGAAGTACCTGCAGGGTGTCTACCAAGAGATAGACAGTGAGATGCTGACGAGGATCAATGGTGACAGGATCAGGTTCATTCTGGATGTGCTTCTGCCAGAGGTGAGCTGGCAAGGGCCTGGAGGTGAGGCTGTGTTCATGCTCAGAACTGGAGCTGGGATTCAGACTGGGTTAGGAGTGAAAACAAAGGCTGCTCTAGAAGCTGGTGGGTGGCCACAGTTTGCAGAGTACATCCTCTGGTTTCAAATTATTTGACCTCAATCATCTCAGTGACTCAGGAGGCAGAGGTAAGTAAGAGGATTTCTGTCCAGGGTTGTACCAGGCAAAGTTAGCATGAGACCCAATCTGAAAAACAGAGTAACAACTGAGCATGGCTAGAGTGGTTTAGTATCTGTCCAAAAGGTAGGAAGTCCATCAAAAACATTTTTTTCTTTGACCTAATATTTGTGGAAATTTTCAAAAAGATACAAAAATAAAATAATACAAAGGGCCGGGTACCAGTGGCTCACACCTGTAATCCTAGCTACTCAGGAGGCTGAGATGTGAGGATCACGGTTCAAAGCCAGCCCGGGCAAGAAAGTCTGTGAGACTCGTCTCCAATTAACTATGAGAAAACAGGAAGTGGTGCTGTGGCTCAAGTGGTAGAGCACTCACTGGCCTTGAGCTGAAGAGTTCAGGGACAGTGCCCAGGCCCCAGAGTTCAAGCCCCAAACTGACAGAAAAAAAAAGGAAAAAAAAAAAAACATATATTACACAAAGGGCTCCCAAGTGCCCATCCCCCTGTGTTATATTTTTGAGGAAAATATAAAACCATAAGCTTCTCTTTTAACCATACTGCAGTATGGCTAATGCTAATGGCTCATGCCAGGAATCCTATCTATCCAAGAGGCTGAGACCTGGAAGATTGCATTTCAAAGCTAGCCAGACAGAAAAGTCTGTAAGACCCCATCTCCAATTAGCCAGCCAAATGCTGAACCAGAGGCATGATTCAAATGGTAGAGTGCCAGCCATGACAAAAAAGATGAGTAAGGGCACAAGGCTTTGAGTTCAAGCCCCAGTACCAGCAGAAAAAAAATAAATACATTCATTGAATACATGCATATATAACCTTAGTACATAGATCTAAAACAGTGATCCTGGGCAGTATCTTTGGGACATTGTGGCTGTCGTGACTAGATGCCTCTGGCATGTGCCGCGTAGAAGCCAGGGACACTGCCCAGCATGTGCGGTACCTAGGATACCCCCAGAGAATGAGCTGGCCCAGTCGGGGAGAGCCTGTCTTGAATCACGAGGACTCGAGTTGCTTTGCCATAATTGCAATACTGTTATTTTATGTGAACACTAACAATGGTATCAGGCGCCTGTTGTGTATTCAATTTACTCTTGTGTCATTTAGGTTTGTTTTCACAGTAAGCTTACAGATTTTCAAAACTGCTCCTGTATATTTGGGTCATTGCTTTTTACTGTCTGTCTTCAGTGATGTGAACTCTAGTCTCTGGTCCAAAAGAGGGCTTCCTTGATTTAATTCAGGACCTCACTGTGAGAAGAGATCATGGATTGTGTTGGTGGCTTTGAGCCGTAAGCCAGGCCATAACTGGAGGTGACAGGAGGCATACCAGCTTGTGGATTTCTCATGTAGTGTGTCCTGTGCTGGGACTTTCCTATTAACTGCAGAGCACTTCTTTTTGGTTTAGTTCTTGGTCAGACAAGGGTCTTATGTTTTTGCCTGGAGCCAGCCTGGACTATAATCCTCCTACCCATATCTCCCTCACAGTGTGCCATCATGCTAGTTGAGATGAGGTCTCGCTAATTTTTTGCCTGAGCTGGCATGGAATCACGATCCTACCAATCTCCACCTCCCGAGTAGCTTGGATGACAGGACTGAGCTACTTTGTCTGGCCTCACCATGCCTTCTTGCAGGCCATTATCTGTGCAATTGCTGCCGTGGACGCTGTGGACTACAAGACAGCTGAGGAGAAGTACATAAAGGGACCTTTGCTCGGCTACCGGTAGGCTGTTTTCAAGCCCTTTGGGGTTTTCATTTCCAGGGCCATCTCTAACCCACAAGGTGGCCCAGATATGTGGGTACTGGGCCTGTTGTATAAATCTAACCAATTTTATTTAGCACATGGCCAAGGAGTCCTGCAGGGACCCGTGAAGTCAGAAGTCTAAGCTGGGGTAGGCAGTGAATTTGAGTCTTAGGGATTGGTCCAGAGCAGACAGTTACTACAGCAAGCCCAGAGGAAACCACCCAGAAGATCCAGTTCTGCAGCAGGCCCTGGCTGGAGTGGTCGCGTGCTTGGCAGTCCCTCTCTATTATCTTCTTCTGACAGGATGGAGTGTGTGTTTTAGACTTTCTGCCCCACCTGTTTTCAGCCTATGGCTGTTTGAGAAAACAGAATAAGATTAAGAAGTAGTCTTGGTCCCTGTCTGGAGAGAGAATGCTGTGATCAAGATGTTTTTCTCCACTGGCATTTAGCCACCCTGGGATTTTTGGCCCCCAGACCCCTAATCCGCCTCTGGGCATGCTGCCAGGCCTTGCTAGGGAACAGACAGGGCTGCAGGGCAGCGTCAGACTCCACACTCAAGTCACAGGGCTGGTCCTGTGCTTACCCGGGCCCCTGTTGCCTCTGCCGAGGTCTTGGGAGTGCCTGCAAGACCCTGGGTCCTCCTTGGCAAGGTAGCAATGCAGCTGGCACAGCAGGAAGGAGGTGGCGTGGTGTGGTGGCATGAGGAGACTTTCCTGCAGAACCACTCAAAAGTGGTTAGATTTGGTTTCATTTATAGGATGTTTACATTTTGTTTGATCTTTTATAAAATAATTGTACAAAGGGGTTTCATATTTTTGTACCAGCATATAATGTACTTTTTAATTTTTTTTTCTGATGCTGGGTTTGAACTCAGTGCCTCACATTTGTTTGGCTTGCTTTCTGAGCTGGTCTTCTACCACTAGATTCCAGTCTGGCTTTTTATTATTGTTGTTGTTGTTGTTATTAAATATCATAATTGTCTTTAAGTGGTTGTATAAAAGTGTTTCAGTGGAACACATCAATTCCAGTCTGCCTTTTTGCTAGTTATTTTGGAGATGGAGTCTGGTTCTTTTCTGTCTAGATTGTCTTTAAACCACTATGCTCCAGATCTCTGCCTGCTGAGTAGCTAACTTAGGCAAGGACATTGACATACCAAACCTTATAATGTACTTTGAGCAAATAATGTGGGTTTTTTGTTGTTTGTTTTTGTCACTTGTATTTACTTATCTAGCCTGTCACACACTGTTCACAAATAAAAATGACTGTGGCTTGAGTGTGGCCCAATTGGTGGTAGAACACTTGTGTAGCTTGTTCCGTTCACAACACAGTTCTAGGAGGGAAAGCTGGGGGTTGAGGAGTCTCCCTGGATGCCTTATTGTCCCTCCATGGTACCAGCCACACTGTGAAGTGTTACAAGTCTGAGTTAGCTTAGCTGACCAGGAAACCCTCTAATGAGCTTCATTGAGTGATGTTTAGGGGTGAAGTTCACTTGGTGTGGCACCCAGGTGTAATTAAACAATATGCTTGGTGAACCCTGACCACTTTGGGCCTTTGACCTGATTGTGGTGCCGTTGTGAACTCAGCGTCTCGTGTATGGTAAGCCCCCAGGTCCTGGGCTCTGTCCTGAGCTTTTACATTCAAAGCTAGCACTCTACTACTTTGAGCCACAGCTCCACTTCTGTTTATCTGGTGGTTAATTGGAGATGAGAGTCTTACCAATTTTCCTGCTCGGGCTGGCTTTTGAACCATGCCCAGCTCAAGCCCTTTATTTTTTTTAAAATTTTATTTTTTTAGTACCAGTAATTATATTCTTTGAATCTAAACTGTATCATTTTAAATTAATTTTATTATTATTAAGGTGATGTACAGAGGGGTTACCTTTTCTTGCAGGTAATGAGTATATTTTTTTTCTTTTCTTTTTTCTTTTTTTTTTTTGTTGGTCGTGGGACTTGAACTCTGTGCCTGAGTGCTGTCCCTCAGCTCTTCAGCTCAAGGCCAGCACTCTACCACTTGAGCCACAGCACCACTTCCGGCTTTTTCTGCTTATGTGGTGCTGAGGAATGGAACCCAGGGCTTCATGCATGCGAGGCAAGCAATCTACCACTGAGCCACCTTCCCAGCCCTCTGAGTTTATTTCTTTTTTGGACAATGTCACCCCTTCCTTCACTTTCCCCCAGTTTCCTCCTCCTGTCCCTGCCCACAAATTACATAGTTCATTTTCCACATAGTATATTCTGAATAGCATAATTACATTTGTTCACCCTTCTTCTTTCCTTGTCTGCCTCTCCCGTGTTTGTCCCCCCTAAAAATAAAAAAGCAAAAACCAACACATCACTACTGACAGCAAAAGCCCATGTTCCTTTGTTGTTTTGAGATGTTCCTTTGTTGTTTTGTGGCCCAGGCTGGCCTTGACCTGCACCGTTATTCCTATCCACACCATACTCTCTTTTTCTTTCTTGCTTGCTTGCTTGCTTGCTTTTCTCTCTCCCTCTTTCTTTCTCCCTCCCCCCCCCCATTCTCTTTTTGTGGTTGTGGGGCTTGAACTCTGAGCCTGGGTGCTGTCCCTCAATTCTGTCAGTTCATGGCTAATGCTCTACCACTTGAGCCACAGTACCACTTCCAGTTTTCTGGTAGTTAATTGGAGGTAAGAATCTCATGGACTTTCCTGCCACGGCTGGCTTTGAACTATGATCTTCAGATCTCAGCCTTGAGTAGCTAGGGTTACAGACGTGAACTATTGGCACCCAGCTATCTCTCTCTCTCTTTTTTTTGTGCTGGTCCTAGGGCTTGACTCAGAACCTGGATACTGCCTCTGAGCTTTTTCACTCAAGGCTAATTCTCTCCTTTCCACTTGAACCACAGCTCCACTTCTGGTTTTTTGGTGGTTAATTGGGATGAGCATCTCACAAACTTTCTTGATCCTTGATTCTCAGATCTTAGCCTTCTGAGAGGATTATAGAGAGGTATGAGCCAGCAGCATCCAGGTTATTTTTTTTGTATGTATTTTTATTGTAAAGATACTGTACAGAGGGGTTACAGTTATATGAGTAAGGTAATGAGTCCATTTCCTATTGAGCATTGTTACCTCCTCCTTTGTTTTTCCCCTACAGTCCCTTCCTTCCCCTACCTCCCCAACTCCTCCCTGCTCTGCCCTCCGAAGTTGTAAAGTTCGTTTTCAGCATACATCCAGGGTGTTTTGTTTTTTGGTTTTTTCGTGGTACCCAGTACTAAGGGTCTGTGCTCTGCTCTGCTTTTTCACTTATAGCACTTGAGCCATGCCTTAAGGTCCAGCTTTGTGCTGGCTAGTTGGAGTCAAGAGCCTTGAGGTTTCGTCTGCCCAGGCTGTTTTTAATCTCTATCCTCAAATCTCAGTCTCTTGAATGACTTAAGATTACGGGGGTAAGCAACTAGCCATACTCTTTCTCTAAGAAACATGTGTGTACGTGTGTGTGTGCACGCGTGTGCACGCCTGCCTTTTTTTTTCTTTTTTGAAAATGGTTATTGTAAGAGTGAAGTACAGCTGGGTTGCAGTTACATACATTAGGTAATGTGTACATCTATTTGAATAGTGTCTTCTCTCGTTTTTACCCAGTTATTACCTCTGGTACATGCCTGTAATTCTGACACCTAGATGGAGGCAGATGGATCAGAAGATGGAAGCCAGCCTAGGTTACATAGTGTGGCTCTTATCTCCTTCCACTCCCCCCCACCCCCCAAAAATACAGTTTTTAAGATTTTAGGGTTGGACAATAATTCAATGGTAGATCACTTTTCTAGTATATACAAGGCCCAGGATTTAACCCCCAACATCACAAAGAAAGAAAGGGGCAGTGGATTATGATAAAATGCATGTAGCCAAAGGAAGGCAGAGAAGGAAAGGAAGAATAGGAGAGTGGCTACTGGTAGGCTGTTTTCGTTGTCCATCTTTGGGATTCTCATTTCCATATGTGTGAGGTTGCCCTGATTATAGTAAAATATACCTAGCTTAAAAATCTGCTGTCTTTATGATAAAATGTGCAGATTGATAGCATGAAATGCATTATTCCTCATCATCTCCAGAACTTCCTCATTTTCCCAAACTGAAACTGCTCCCTTAGACACCAACTCCTCGGTTTCATTCTCCTTAAAAACTCAATGAATCATTACTAAAACGATCCATCATCTTTTGTTTTCTGAAGGGAAAAAGAAATATTTGATAACCAGCTCCTAGAGGAGAGGAATCGGCGCCGCTGGTGATGGAGCTGCTGTCCCCCGGGTAGCCTGCTGTGTCTCGCCGGGCTTGTGTGCAGGTTCCACAGTTAGTAAGAAGCCCGGCCATGGACGCTCCTCTTGCTCCTCTCACTCTTCTCCTGTTGTTCTCCAATGCTCTGGAAATCAGGAGGCCCAGGGAGTGGGTTGTCTTTGGATCTATCAGCCCTGAAGAGTCATTTCATTAACACACCAAAAGCTAGCTATTTCTTCCTGGTGGATTTTATAAGGTGCATTTCCTGAAAGGTTGTTTTTGATTTTTTTTTTAATTTCCTGCAAGGTTTTTAAAAGAACATTATTGCATAGCTCTCATTGTGACTGTATAGTTGGATATGAAGTGTAACATTTGTGTTTTGTGTTCCCCATTGCACCCAGCATTCTCCAGGAATTTCTAAAAAAGAGTGTGCAGTGAATATATGGCTCACTCTGTAAGCACTGATGTGTTTTTCTGATCTTGTTTTGTTTTGTTTCCTTTGTGTGTGTCCTGACGGTGAGTTCTGGCACCTGCTCTGCCCCTCCTGCATGCTGAGCAGGAAAAGCGTCTTTGTGAGAGGCGGAACCAAAGAGCTGCAGCCTCACGTTGCAGTGTGTGTGTGGGTGTGGCATCCATCTGTGCAGAGGGATAAAGAGACACATTACCCAATGGTCTCTGCATCTAGCCCCAGGAGGGCAATAGCAGTGGGCATCTAGATACCAGATGCCACTTGCAGTCTCCCTGTCTTGACAATCTACCTGGACAGCAATGGCAGGGTCCCAGTGCCTCGTTGGAGTGTGGGCCCAGTATATTCAGAGATAAGTCCTTTGTCCTGAAGGCTAGCACAGTGCATAGCCAGCAGGGTCAGGCTGGCCAGCAGAGTGACCCTGCCCTGAATGAAGGGTAAGTTCAGCCCTGCCATCCTAGAAGTGCTTGTGGCCAGGCCATTATCTTCTAGCACAGTTGTGACAATTCTGTCAAAGTTAAAACTGAACAGCAGTGAATTATTTATTCTAAGCTAATGCCTGAGGCTCTCTGTGGAAGTAAATGTTGGCCAAGGGAATTTTCAGATTGTGACATGAGATGAATTTGAAAGCAAGATCAAGTCCTTCCAGGCCAGATGCCACATGTGGGTGTGGTCACTTGGTTCCTTTTGGTCTCTTCCCCATCAGTTGTGCCTGTCCCTTGGGGAGTCCTGGATTTGCAGTGGCCTTCTCCCCAGTGTTCCCCTCACCCAGATGATGGCTGCCATCGAGGAGCAAGAGGAGAAGGTAGTTCCTGCCAAGTGTCACCCAGAAAGCCACGTGGAGCAGGAGAAACCTTAGTGAAGGTTGGGATCTCATTGCCTTGAGCCTTTCGAGGGACTGACACATGGAGGTGTCTTTGATGGGGGTGGGGAGGGGGGTACCGGGCACCTTCCAGTGGCCATTTTGATTGCACTTGACTTTGCTCATAAGAGGTCCTGCCTCCCTCTGTCCACCATCTGTGGAGTTCATGTCCAGAGAAGGAGTACACAATTTGTGTGTCTGATCATCTGGCCCTGCACTGGTCACTCCTTGTACAGCTTTACCCCTCGGTGCCCTCCCCTCCTCTCAGAAGGGGCCTCCCCAGTGTTGCTAGATCAAGCAGTCTCCCTCTGGTGTGGGAAAATTTGCCCCAATAGCAGCCATGGCTGAATCTGGAGTTTCCCATTGGCGTTGCCTGGTAACCAGCAGTGGACACATCAAATACATGGGACATTGGGGTGGCTGAGAAACCTGTTGGGAATTCTGCAGAAATGGTGTCTGTGTGAGAGAGTATCTATTGTTGGAAAGTATTTTTATACATGTGCTTTTATCTGTGCCGACCTTTACTGTGTCCTGAGGGTTGGATTGTTCAGCTATTCAGATGAATTAAATGCCTTTTCAGAGCTATGGCTTTTCTTTTGGAACCCCTAAACTACATGGAGGGGGGCTTTGGGCTATTTCCTAGAAGAATCTGCTGGGCCTGAGCTGATATCTACCCATTCTGCTGTCCCTAGCATAGGGCCTTCATTTGTTCTGCTCTGCTCTAGAGACACTTACAGAATCCAGTCACTTGCCAGGAGAGTCCAGAGACCCCTCCCCCCCCCGCCCAACTCCCCCCCCCTCCAGCCATCCCTGTTCCCCCTATTTAGTCAATTCTGAGGGTGTTTGTTTCAAAATTTGGCCTGAGGTAGCTGGGGGTGGACTCTTTGAGGGCATTCTGCATGTAGAGGATATTTATAACCTAGATTATCTGAATCAGGGCCTGCCTGATGACCCCACTGGCATGCCCAGTGAGGAAAGTTCTGACAGCTGTCCTGGGGTCAGGTGAAGCCTTTCCTGTGATGGCCCTGTGTCAAAGCTGCTTTGGAGCTATCAAGACTTGATCCTAGCTGGGCTCTGATGGCTCACACCTGTATTCCTAGTGGCTCAGGAGGCTGAGATCTGAGCTAGCCAGGGCAGGAAAGGCCATGAAACTCATTTCCAATTAATCACCAGAAAGCTGGAAGTGGAACTGTGGCTCAAAGTGGTAAGAGCACTAGCTTTGAGCAAAATAGCTCAGGGACAGTACCAAGGCCCTGAGTTCAAGCCCCACACTGACTCCCCAAAAAAAGATGATCCACGAAACCCATGTCTCCCTATACTCAGGTCTTCCCCCTCAGCACGTGGGCATTGGGCTGGGTTTACTCCGGTGGGTATATTGTGCACTGCAGGATCAGGAGCAATATCCTGGCCTCTGCCTATTCCATGCAAGGGGGCGCCACAGTCCTCCAGATACTCCAGAAACTACTGGATCTTACCGGGCTCCTCCTGGCTCCATCTCTCTGTTTGTTAATTGCCAGATCAGAGACCAACTTAGCGCCATCTACTGTCAACTTCTGGACCTCCTGCCCCTGGTCACTGAGGCTTCCTTCCCAAAGTTAATTTTATTTATTGTAGCTCAGGATGGTACAAAAGAATGGAAGTTCCCCCAACAAAAGGACCAACACAACAGGAATGGACAGTTCCCCTCGTGGGCACCTTGATATCCAGCATGTACAAATATATAGCTCACTGAAACATGTTCCAGTTCTGCTTTTCCTGCCTTTTCCCTACTCACCCACACCTCCCTCCCACTGGCTCCACAACTGGTTTCTGATCTGTCTGTTCCCCCATTCCCTTCTTACTCCCCCCTCCTCCATACCTGATGCTCCCCACTGAACGTGATCTCACCCAGGTTCCTAAGCACCTGGCTTCTTCCCTACCCCATGCAACTGACCTCTTATCCAATCCCTCCACCCAGCAACTAGCCAGACACATCGGTCACACCTCTCGTGTCCTCTACGCATTACTCCAAAATATAGAGGTAGAAAATAGTGTCTGTCACAGTTTCCATACGCTGGGGTCCAAGAGCAAATAGGCTGGGTAGTTTAGGGGTCTCTAGAGGCTACAGCCAGGTGCAATATGGGGCTCAGGTGCCTCGCTCAAGAGTGAGCATAGTTCCTAAGTACTTGGGTGGCTCAAGGCCTTAGTTCCTCCTTGAATTGCACCTCTCCCTGGCTGGTGAACTTCCTGCTTTGCTGGCCCACAACTACAAGCAATTCCTGACATTCCTCCCATTCATCCCCCATGCCACCTCCCAGATAGGTTCTGGTGCCAGACAGAGGAAGGACTGTTTTCTGGCTCTCAATCTCAATAATTGAGTTCCCAGAATCATGCCTATTTAATTTCATTTTATTTTTTTGCCAGCACTGAGGCTTGATTTTGGGGGGGGTGGGGGGAGGTCGGGGGTGGGAGAAGGTCCTAGGGCTTGAACTCAGGGCTTGGATGCTATCCCTGAACTTTTTGTTTTGTTCAAGGCCATCACTTGAGCAACAGCTCCACTTCTGGCTTTTTTGGTGGTTTACTGGAGATAAGGGTCTCACTGACTTTCTTGCCTGGGCTGGCTTTGAACTGTGATTCTCAGATCTCAGTCTCCTGAGTAGTTTAGGATTATAGTTATGAGCCACCAGCACCCAGCTATATCTCAGCTAAGGATTACAGGTATGAGCACCACTGCCCAGCAGGACTGGGTAATATAAAGAAAATATATGGGGCTGGGAAGGTAGAGCGCTTGCCTTGCATGTTCGAGGCCCTGGGTTCGATTCCTCAGCACCACATAAGCAAAAAGAAAAAGCCGGAAGTGGCGCTGTGGCTCAAGTGGTAGAGTGCTAGCTTTGAGCTGAAGAGCTGAGGGACAGCACCCAGGCCCAAAGTTCAGGCCCCATGACCGGACCCAAAAAAAATATATATATATATATGTAATATGAAGAAAAGATACTTATTTCTCACAGTTCTGAAGGGCCAGGCAGAATAAACAAACTTCCTTCTTTTACCTTTCAAGTGCCAGGGACAAGCCCCCTTTTGCCTCTTTTAAAATCACTAATGCCTGGAAGGGGACTCCTTCTGACTTCTTTGTCTTCAACACCAGAAACAATGTGGTTTTGGGATCAAGTTTCCAGCACATTACTATAGGGGACACTAGGGAAAATCCAGGAAACCCAACCCAAAGAAAGTGCTTCATTAATATAAAATAATTCACTGGGTATGGCTTATACAAGGTCTTTCTGTACAGTCTCTGACCTTTTCTGTAACACTAAATATTTAACTTTTTTTTCCTTTTTGGCAGAACTAGAGTTAGGACTCAAGGCCTTTTTGTTGTTGTTGGGCCTGGGGCTGGGTGCTTTCTCTCAGGGGCTGTCCCTGAGCTCTTTCACTCAAGGCTAGTGCTCTACCATTTGGAGCCACAGTGCCACTTTCAGTTTTCTGGTGGTTAATTGGAGTTAAGAGTCTCATGTAGTTTCTTGACTGGGCTGGCCTTGAACTGATATCTTCAGATCTCAGCCTCCCAAGTAACTAGGATTACAAGTGTGAGTCACTATCACTCAAGCCACACTCCATACTTCTTTTTTTTTTTTTAATACCACAGTTCAGAAATTCTTGAGAGGCACAGAAGAAAATGTTTTGTGTACCTGCTACCATTTCAGAGTCTCCTTTGAAGTCTTTTCAGCTAAAATCCCCGTCTCCCTCTTCTCTCCTATAGGTTGTCCATCTCAAGTCCATGCCTGTACTGGGTGACACAACTTCTCTCCCCCATCCTTTCCCCCTGCCTCTGACCATCAGAAAGCTGGTGGCGCTAAGAACAGGGGTCAGGGCCTGGCTTTCCTCCACAGTGGGAACCTAGCACCTCCATAGGTATTAAATAAATGCCTGGGGAGGTCCTTAATAGATCATCTTGCTGGAGCTGCAGTTTCCCCACTTGTAAAAGGGGTGGAACACGTATCCTGCAAGGTGGAGGTGGCATACAAGCAGAGATATTTTTATAAAATACCAGTTCTAGCCCTACCAACTTAAAAAACAATTAAATATAGCTGGGCACCTGTGGCTTACACCTGTAATCCTAGCTACTCAGAAGGCTGAGATCTGAGGATCACGGTTCAAAGCCAGTTGGAGCAGGAAAGTCGGGACTCATCTCTAATAAACCATTAGAAAACCAGAAGTGGTGCAGTGGCTCAAGTTGTAGAGGGCTCACCTTGAGCTGAAGAGTGCAGGGACAGTGCCCAGACCTAGAGTTCAAGCCCCACGGCTGACCGAAAGAGAAAATCAATTAAAAAAGTAAATAGGTTACAGGAATAGAGAGATACACAGTATTTTTAAATACAAGTACATATCGAGATTTGAGAGAATAACTTGAAAACTCAGAGGCATGGGAAAGGACAAATATGATGATAAGCCAGTAAATGTACAGCTTTTTACTAACTGAGTACAGTGAAGTCAGGTCTGCCGCAGGGGTCAAAACCGTTGCCGAAACCCGGGATCGAACCAGGGACCTTTAGATCTTCAGTCTAACGCTCTCCCAACTGAGCTATTTCGGCGGAATAGCTGCCCGTCCTCCTCTTCTCGCCTCCGCCCTCTCCCACTGCGTTGCGCGCAGGCGCAGTTTGTTGTGCATGCGCAAATTGAGTAACTCTCGTAAGACCGCTCTGGAAGCCCACTAGTCATGCCGTCTCTGTGGCGCAATCGGTTAGCGCGTTCGGCTGTTAACCGAAAGGTTGGTGGTTCGAGCCCACCCAGGGACGTGTGCATTCTTACTTTTGGCTCCCCAAGGGAAGGAAAAAAAAAACCACGTGGGTTTGTTCTTGCATTTGTTCTTACTGCCCTCACCCCAACATACTTCTCGGTGCCAGGGGACCAGGGACGCGCGGCGCGGCGCGGCGCGGGCACGATTACTACCGAAGAGCGGAACGACAGGACCTGGGCTCCGGTTTCCGCACGCGCGCCGAGCCCTTTTGGACCGACGCTCGTGAGACACGGAGCGCTTAGGACGACGGACCGCAGAGGTTGTCTGAAGGCCGAAGCCAAGATGGCGTCCCTGACGGGTGAGCGTGTGTGGGGTGCCGGGGGCCAGGGTCACCGCTGGCTCTGGGGGCCGGCGGCCGTCCAGGGTCGGGTCGGGGCTGCAGGAGAATCGGGCTAGGTCGGGATCTGTAAGAGGGAGGACTGCCGAGTCCAGAGGCCGCGCCCCGCCGGGACGTCAGGCCCCGGCCGCGGCCTCTTCACGCCGGCGCTGCTCGCTCGGGCTCCAGCGTCGCGGTTCCGGGGTCCACCCCAGACCGGGACAAGGCCGGAGATGCTGCCTGTGAAGCAGCCGAGAGAGTGAGACAGAGCGTGCACCCTCCTGACAGGAATCAGACCCATAGCAAGACCTTCTAGAAGGTTCCGAGAGCACCGGGCAGAGACCCAAGCTATTCCAAGCCCCTTTCGTCTCCTTCACCGAACCTTGGATCCACGTCAGGTGTCTCAAACCTGCCCTGCCTCGGGACCTTTCTGTCCACAGGTGAAGCCTTCTGACCCCTTCTTAAAGTTATTAGGGAGCTGAAATAAAAAC